TAATGTAGGTCATTTTTATTGCCACAAGAAAAACGTTGTTTGAATTAAGGGCCTTTTTAGTCACAAATTATTTGATTGAATTGGACTTAAGCCGATTTGTTCCGAAATAAAGGCAATTTCACCATAGTTATTTGATTAACTTAGGCTTTTTGGCCAATATTATCGGATTTAAGCTTAACACCACGATTATGATTAACCGGGCATTTTAGCCTAAATTTATTTAATTGAGGCAGTTTATTTGCCTGATTAATGACGTGAATGCATTTTATGCAATTTGTAGAATTATGAGTAGAAGAGAAGCATGCATGGAAGTTGCTTAAAATTAAATTAGGCAGAGTTTAGTTTTATGTACCTGATTTAATCGACGGCCACTTCTTAACTCCAGGGTTTAAGCTCCTCGTTTCAGGGAATATTAATTAAATTCAACTTTAGTAACCACTTAAACAAAGCAAGAAAGCAAATAAAAGGCTTAAACTTAAAATGCCAGAAAAGCAGTAAAAGAAATCGCAAGGATCGTTGGAGAAGGAAGCGTCCGTCACCACAGACCTGAGTGAGTCGAAATGAAGACCATCGGGGCCAATTTATAGGGCAAAAAACGGACTGTTCGGCGGCCTTGGCCGCTGGGCTCGGCGCCAGGGCAGCCGTGGGCGGCGGCCTAGGCCGCCGGACGGCCAGGGCGGCTTGAGCAGCCGTGACCAGTGCGGCCGCCAGCCGCTGTTCTCCGGCTGGCGGCGTGGGAGGGCGGCCGCAAGCCGGCCGCCGGCCGGCGGACTTTATCTAGTTTTTACGTTCCGGAGGCTTTTTTTCGGGAGTCCGACCTTTCCAAAAAATATTCCGCGGACCAGTTCCGCGGATTCCTCGCGACGCTCCCGAATTGTTTTAAAAGTACCATTATTTTGGCATACTTCCGGTAAATTTCCAAAATGGCCTCTTGGTCCGGCCGGACTGTTTGCAGTCCGGGAAAACTGGCTTTTTTGAGAGCCTCAAAATTTGAGTATCACAAAATCCCAGATCTGTATCGTAAATAAGGCAAAAAGTCAGTAAATAAAGCAGGAAAGATAAAAAAGGACGGAAAGTGAAAAAATAAACCAAGGGATATGATTGAATACCTTCAATGGCACCGCATGTAGCCAACCTTCAAGTGTGCTTCGCAGACACACAAGTCCATGGCATTAATAGGATATTGATTAAGGCAGCAGCTCCCAGTTTAAATTGTCTAGCATATTTAAGTCCTGCAGCGACGGTAGCAGCGCTAGATTCCCCATCCTATGATTTGTGGAAAGGTAGTCAACAACAAATAGAACATATTAAGCTCGGGGCTTACTACATCTACATTCCATCTAGCAAACACGGTCTCGAAGGCATGCGTCTCGTAATGAGAAATTTGATTACTCTTATTTAACTCACCTTCTTAGTCGGAGATAGGTAGGCTCCATGCCTATCGCAGCTCGAAGTCTCTACCGCAAGCTCGGTCGATCCAGGAGTCCTTAGCTAGTCATAAAAAATGACGGATTGCGCCCTTTTTGAAGGGAGGCCTGGTAGATGGCAACAAAATCCACTGGCGTTGATCGTCATCCTCGCCGAATGATAGATGGAAAATATGGGTGGTATTCCATCCACCGCTCCATGAGTGCCATAATGCTCGTTAGGACGATCCGCCCTTGCAAATTCGAGGTAGTGTGTCCGACAAAAAATTGGTCGAATCCACCTCCCGGACTCGATTCTGGAACTCGAGGCAACAATCGTTCGAACCACTCGCCCGCCGCATAGGTGTTATCGCTGGATTTCCCCCGCATCGCGCTCATTCTACAAAAATAAACCACTGTAAGTTATTTACTAATAAAGCGTGAAGGCACCATGTTTGCATTGTTTTTTGATTGGAACTACGGTAATAAGAAAACGAGGAAAAATGATTGGAAAAAATACCAAAAAGATGGTGTTTCACAGTTACTGTGGCGGCTAACTACAAGTAGTGGCACAAGGCACTACTTTAGTGGCAAATGCGCCACTAGTGCTGTTGAGCGTTTTTGCACACAGATCTATAGCAAAAGCCAAACATACAAAGAAGTGGCGCGACGGCCACACGCAATGGCGCATGCCACAACGACACACCACAAAAAGCTGTTAAAACAACCAAAATTCACCTAAAGGTACATTTTCTAACTTGATTTTCCGAATTTCTAACATAATATTTACATGTTTCTTAGATCCTTATAATGCAAGAAAATCAAAGGAAAAAGTTTCAAAATTACCTAGGCGAGCAGTGGGTCATTACCACGGAAAAAATCCAATTTTTTTTCACCCTCAAACAGAGTGGGGTCGACAAATCATGTATAGGTAATCATTTAGTCCTTGCATCTTAGAATAACTCTCGAAGTTTCAATTCTGTGGCTCACGGGTTGGCAGTCACAAGGGTCGATCACCGCATCACCGGGCAAGCCAGTTTACAATATTTCAGGGCCCATAAGTTTTGGTTTGTAAGGAAGAAGCATAAAAGAGAAAAAAGAAAGAAAATTTTGAAAAGAGAAAAGAATAAGAAAGGCTTGCAAAGTGGGACAAATGAATGTCACTTTCGCCTTTTATAAATGTTAGTGGGCCTATTAGGCCCAACTTAATCCTTCGAGCCCAGTTTTTAAGGCCAAAGATCCATTAACAGTGACCAGCTCTCATACTAAGCCGGCAACCATCAACGGCTAACTGGCCTAAACAGGGGCAAACACATTCGTGGCTTACAGGTAATTACCTCGCTTTGCGTGCCACGACACAATTTTTTTGATAAATTCATAAAATACAAACCCATAACTCCTTATTAAACTTACATTGCACACACGAATCATGAAAATTCACGCATTTTTTATGCAAAATTCACATGTCAGCACGTTGCATGCTTTTCTAGGCCTAATCACGAAAATTTCTAACAATAACTGGCCAAAAGAACTTTTTCCCTTTGTGTTTCCAAAATCATTTTTTGCAGGTATCTCCCCAAAGTGGAGCATTTCCAAACCGTAAGTCCCCTAAGGTAGGAAAACCATAAGCTCCCCTAAGGCAGAAAAAAACCGTGAGTCCCCCAAAGCAGGAAAATCGTAAGTCCTTTGAGGTAGGAAAACTAAAGGCCCTTCAAAGGAATGCATCATCCAAAAAGGAAAATCTCTTAAAAGCGGAGCATCTCAAACTCAAGCCATCCACAGTGCGAACACCCAAAACCTCCCAAGTTGGTGCACCCAAAAGCCATCTTCAAGTGGCCGCACCCAAAGCCATCCCAAAGTGGCCACACCAAGCTGTCCCAAGAAGTGGCCCACCAAGCCCATTCAAAAAAGGCATGTCCAAACGACAACCTCCAAAAGTGGAGCATTCTTCAAACCAAAGCGAGGGGAGGGGGGGGGGGGGGGGATGCCAACCATGGTGTAATACAGCCGCAAAAAACCATCAACAACTACCAATGACGCAACTGTATCCGCCTTACAAATATCGTAATTGATAACCCATTAAGTCCCCTGAGGCAGGTTTTTCAAAAGCCCTTCAAAGAAAGGCACCGTCCAAAGGAGCTTTTTTCAGAAGAAAACCGAGTCAACCAAAAGTGTCATATTCTATTTAATTCGTTGAAGCCATTCCAAAGTGGCGCATCCCAGAATTGCCCAAAGTGGCGGCATATCTTCATTTCACCTCTCACCGTCCAAAGGGAGCATTTCAGGAAACCAAATCGACCAAAAGTTTGTCGTAATCCATTCATCCGTTGAAGCCGTCCAAAGTTGGCACCACCGGAAAGCCATCCCAAGTGGCAACATCTATTTCGCCTCTCACCTTCCCAAAGTATAAACCTCCAAAAGGGAACATTTTAGAAACCAAGGTCGACTAAAGTTTCATAATCCATTTTATCGGTTTGGAAGTCATCCAAAGTGGAGCACCCTCGGAAGTCGTCCTAAATGGCGGCATTCTCATTCCGCATTTCTCACCGTCCAAGGACAACCTCTAAAAGGAGCATTCATTAAATTGGGTCGGACCAAAGTGTTTGTATCCATTTCATTCGTTTAAAGTTCATCCCATGTGGTGCACCCCGGAAAGTCGTCCCCATATGCGTATCTTATTTTCGCCTCTCACATCCAAAGGACCAACCCTTGCAATTTAATCAAAACAACCGATTGGCGCGGATAAGCCGTTTTAGAAGCCACCAAAAAACCACCGATGATGCAATTTGTCCGCACTAACAAATGTCGTAATGGTACTCACATCAAACAAAAGCCGCGAAATTTGGGCGCCACTTCACCCATTAAAGCTGCTTTCATATAAATGCCAACCAGGGTATAGTAGTCTCTTACTTTAAGCGTTCCTACTTTTACACTTTTGATGACATTTTTATTTTAAAAGCAAAATCTTATCAAGAGTTGTGGGGCAAACTTATAGATTGCTCATATTTTGTCCCTAAAAGGGTTCAATTGATGCATACACCATTTTTTTGCATTTTCTGATCGCTCCCGGGTTTTCGGGACCAATGCTCTGTGAACTGAAATTACTACACCGTGTTTTAAATGATTTTTACTTTTTCACGGTCACTAAGGCGTTTCGCGACGGAAACTGGGCCAAGGAAGGCGCGTTTCGGTGCCCGCCCTGGTGCACCAGCTCATTTTTGCATGCCACCCGGTCTGTTTTTTACTAAAAGTTGGTGCTCGTACTTTGTAGGGCTCGACATTCGGCATTTTTGCCACACCGGCCCTAGATGGGGCCAGCCCACCCTCAAATGTTCTTATAAATAGACATTTGGGGTGAGCAAGTGGAGGAGTTTTGGTAGCTTAAGGAAAACTTCTTGAAATTTCAAAAACTCAATCTAAGAAATCAAAGGGAACCATTGTTTTCCCTTGTTTTAGGATTTATGATTCATTGATGGTTTAAATAAAAAACTCCTAAGCATATACTATAAATCCCAAAAAACACACATTTAAACTTCCAAATTTTAGGTTATTGGATCAAGGGGGACCAAGGAGTTTGGGTTTTTTCATCCATTTCTATTCAATCTTCAAGGGATCCCCAAGAGGTAGTTTCTGAGAACCTTTAAACTCACATCTCCGTTTTTTCTTTTCCTTTTCAAATGTTCTAAAAACACTTGTTTTTGGGTATGTTGTGAGGGAAACCTAAGATCAACCATAAAGCGTAGTGAATTACCCAAATTTTGAGGCTCAGAAAAGCCTGTTTTCCCGGACTGGCAAACAGGCCCGGCCGGACCGGAGGCTATTTCAGAAGTTCATCGAAAATACGTTCAATATTTGGTAACTTAAAAACGTCCGGAAATATCGCGAGGATCGCGGAACAGGTCCCGGAATATTTTTCGGAGGTCCGGAACTCCCAAAAAGGCCCCCGGAGCGAAGGCACGGTGTCCACACCGGCCACGCGGCGCCTTGTCGCCGGCCGCCGGCGGAGCCGACACGCCGGGCACGCCGTGGCACAGCCGCCCAGCCTGGGCGGCACCTGTCGCCCCACTTCCGGCCAGGGCTGCCGCCCAGCGGCGGGCGAAGGGCTTGCCGCCCCGCGCGGGCGAGGCCTTGCGCCCCGCGGCGGGGCGAGGCCTGCCGCCCAGTGCGCGCGGGCCTGCGCACCCAGCGCGGCCGAGGCGTGCCGCCCAGCGCGGGCGGGGGCCTGTCGGCCCCGCGCGGGCGAGCCGTGCCGCCCCCAACGCCCGCAAGGGGCCTGTAAACGCCCCGCGCAGGCAGGGGCCTGGCCCCCCCACGCCCCCTGGGGCGGCACCTGCCGCCCAGCTTGGGCGACACCTGCGCCCAGAAACAGGCGGGGCCTTGCCGCCCCACCGACTGGGCGGCAAAGCTGCGCCCTCCCAGGGCGGCAACCCCCGCCAATGCGTGGGCGGGGCCTGCCGCCCCAACCGACAGGGCGCACCTGCCGCCCGCGGACCTCGAAAATTGGCTATAAATAGACCATTTTCAGCCATTTTCTGGTACCCCGGTGTCTGTGTTGGACGGACGAATCCTTCTCCCTCTCACGGCTCCTTGCGTTTTTTTTACCGTTTTTTGCATTTATTTTAATTTTTATTGCAATTTTATTGTTGATTATTTGGACATTAAAAATTAAAAACAAATTAAAAATTAATTAATATTTTTCCTAAGCGGAGGAGCTAATCTGGAGTTAAGAAAGCGGGGTCTTTTCGATTAAATTCAGGTCTATGTTAAAACAAAACTCTTGCCTATTTAATTTTAGCACTTCATTGGCATATTTCTTTCTTTTACTCTTTAATTAAATTCTTACCAATTGCAATCTCTCTCTTT